CTGCTTCTACCTCTTGGGTGCTCGGATTAAAGGCCTGCGCCACTACAGCAGGCCACTTAAAATTTTTTTTAAACTTAATTTTTTGAGACAGAGTCTTGTTGTGTAGCCTGAGTTGGTCTTGAATTTGCGATCCTTTTGCCTTCAGTGCTGGGATTACAGATTCGAACTACCTAGGGTTAGGGTTAGGGTTAGCTTCTGGGATCTCTTGTTTCTTCGAGCTGTCAGCCAGTTCAAGTAGCCTGTCCCCAAGCTTATCACCTGCTGCTGTGTTCAGCTCTGTGGAAGGTACGGGCGGCGGGCAGAGGGGAGTGATTAAACTTCCCAGCCAAGTGTCGCTCCCGTGTGCCAGGCTGTGCCCTAAGTGCTGTGCGTGCAAAGATAAGATAGAATGGTCCTGTGTCTGCCCTGATGAGTGAGCCCTGTTGCTGTGGGATCAGCCAGTGCATTGTTACAGTCACAACGGTAATAAAGATGCGTGGCCATCTTGATGAGAGTAAACGAGACAAAGGCCCGTCGCATTTTCATGCTCGGTGGTCTGTCTGCATTTCCATTCTCTGTCAAGCTGCAGACACCTGAAGCAGACAGGTGATTCTTTTTCTCTGACGGCTGAGAGCCATGGGTTATAAAGGCTTGCTACTCCTGTAGCCAGAGGAGACCTCTATGGAAGAGGTGTTGATGTGGGGTTCTGTGCTCCGAGGAGGGATCCTGAGGAGCTTCCTGAAGTTCTGTTCTGGATCTTGAAAACAAAACCCACAACATTTTATTTCGAGGTAGAGGGAGAAGAAAAGGTTAGGAGGGAGGGGGGAGAGAGAGAGAGAGAGAGAGAGAGAGAGAGTATGTGTATGTGTGTTGGCTCTTGAGAGTAATTCGTGAATGTTGGAGGACACCTGGTTACCCAGGTTAGCAGCAAGTGAGCCATTGAAGCCTACATGTTCTTTGAATTGTCATGGTGATTATGAATGTATGAAGTCAGAACAGTAACCGTTTGAAAAGCATCACAACTTTATTAAAATAGACACCCACCCTTTACTGTATTGAAAAGCCTTTTCAGCCAGGCCGTGGTGGTGCACGTCTTAGGTCTTAGCACCCAGGAGGCGGAGACAGGCTGATCGCTTTGAATTCGAGGCTAACCTGGTCTTTAAAGGGAGTTCGGGAAAGCCAGAGCTACACAGAGAAACCCTGCCTCGAAAAACAAAACAAGAAAAAGTTGCCTTTTCAGTGTGAGGACCAGATGCTGGTTCTTAAGCATGCTAGCTGAGTCTTGTACTGCAGAACTTGACCCTCTGTCTAGATTTATCTTTCAAAGTGTGAAGGTTGCTGAAAGCTCATGCTCCTCTGATCCCCAGCACCACAAATGAAATAAGGAAGTTACTGAACTAGAGAATTCAGTGTGTTTACTGTATGCCAGAAGCCTGCAACCCAGAACACAGTGTGACTCCAGAACATTTTCATCACCCTAACCAGAGACCTTGTCCCTGTTAATAGCCTCCCACTGTTCCCTCCTCTTCGGGCTGCTGGCAGCCACTACTCTACTTTCTGCCTTGTGAGGTGGCTTCTCCTGAGCATCGGATATAAACGGATCATGTGATATGTGGCCATTTCTGTCTGGTTCTTTCATTCAAGGTTGTCTTCCTGTACTCATGTTTATGTTTAGCAGTTTAGCATATGTTGGTACTTATTTGTTTTAAGTCTAGCATGTCAAGCAAATACTGATAGTTGTTTTCTTTGTTTTGAGACGGGGTTTCTCTGTGTAGCACAGCTATCCTGGAACTCACTCTGTAGACCAGGCTGTATCACAGCCTGTATCACAGAGATACATCTGCTTCTGCCTCCTGAGTGAGTGCTGAGATTAAGTGTGTGCACCACCACCGCCTGGCAGATGTTTTTTGGCTATTTATTTTAATAGATTTTTATGTGTATCTGTTTGGCCTGCATGTATGTCCTTGTGAGGGTGTCAGATCTTGGAGTAATAGACACTTGTGAGCTGCCATGTGGGTGCTGGGAATTGAACCCGGGTCCTCTGGAGGAGCAGTCAGTACTCTTAACCACTGAGGCATCTCTCTATCCTAGTTGTTTACTTTTTTCTCTTTCTTTTTTAAGATATATTTATTTTATTATGTAACAGTGTTCTGCTTGCCTGCACACCTGAACTCCAGAAGAGGGCACCAGACCTCATTGTAGATGGTTGTGAGCCACTATGTAGTTGCTGGGAATTGAACTCAGGACCTCTGGAAGAGCAGACATATCTCCAGCCATATCTCCAGCCCTAGTTGTTTACTTCTATGTCATAGTTTTTTTAGACATTTTTGTCTAAATATTATTAATTTTTATTACTGAAAATTTTATGTTACTGTTATTTTGTATGTGTAGTGAATGTGTGTGAACATACATGAGCCACGGTGACCTTGTGACAGTCGCTGGTAACTTTTGGGGAGTTCTCTTCTTTTACTGTGGGATCCTGGGGTTAAACAGGCACACTGGGCTTGTGTGGCAAGCGCTTGTATTTTACGAGCTATCTTCTTTTTTTTTTTTTTTCTTGGTATTTTTGAGACAGTCTTACTGTGTAGCCCTGGCAGTTCTAGAACTTACTGTGTAGACCAGGCTGGCCTCAAACTCTGAGATCTGCCTGCCTCTGCTTTTCAGGTACTGGGAGTAAAGGTGTGTGCCACTGTGCCTGGCTCTAATGAGCCATCTTGCCATACGTTATACATACTTACATACATACATACATACATACATACATACATACATACATACATACATAAGACGTACATACGTACAACAATTTTTTCAGTTAGACTTGCATTTTTTTTTTATCCCAGCTATCTTGAAATTTCCTATATCTTCAGCCAAGCTGGTCTCTTAACTCTAACCAGTGATCCTCCTGTCTCAGCCTCTCAAGTGATGAGATTATAGGCATGCACAACTATGTGTCTTTTCAGTTTTTATTTTTTAAAATGTATTTCTTGTGTATAATATCTGCAGGTATGCCTTCACACCAGGAGAGGGCACAGATCTCATTATGGTTTCAAACCACCATGTGGTTGCTGGGAATTGAACTCAGGACCTCTAGAAGAGCAGAGAGTGCTCTTAACCTCTGGGCCATCTCTCCAGCCCAGTTTTTATTATTTTTACAAGGAGACTTTTTATTAGTCTCCCTTTTTATTAGTAGTTATAGTTTGGGGGATGATAGTTGTGTTCAAAACTGTCATTATAAACATTTGTAGTATTGGGTTACAAATAAAATACATCGTACTACAAAATATTTCTAAATTCTTTAATTAAAACTGGAAAACACTTTAACGTAAGACAGATGTGCTCATGTTAACTTCAAGAACTTTTCTAATTCAGTAAAAGGCTTGTTATAAGTGGGATTTAGGTAGAAGACTAGCCTGATTCTGAAGAGAATTTACCTCATAATCACTTTCCCCACTGAAAAAGTAACCGAAATGATTTATGATACAGTTTTCAGTGGAATTTTTCAGATGTGTAATTCCTCCTGGAAGCTATTTTCAGGCTCTTTGTAAACAATCAAAACAAATCAGTAAAGAAACGGCACAGTTCACAAGCTCACCTCATCTCCAGTGGACATTAGTCGATGCAGTGCATATTTCCTTCCAGCGTCGCTACGGCCTTTCCACTCCCCTCTGAAGGTCGGTGAGCAAGGACTTAGGAAGACTAGAATGGGGGACCTGCAGTCATGTTGGGTAACAGAAGTCTGAGAGAAGACTCATCAGGTGAAGGAGCTTGTTTCCAGCCTTGACAGCCCGGGTCGATCCCCGGGAACCACAGAGTGAAGGGAGGGGACTCCTTCAACTTGTTGCTTCATCTCCACATGCATACCGTGGTTTACTTGGTGTGACAGTGCACACACACATGCGCACACACACCCACCCCCCCACCCACCCCCCCGAAATCGCTACAGAATCAGGTCAAAGTAAGGGCACAATAAGAAATGTCCTAAAGGTGAAAATACTTGTAAATTACAAAATGGATGGAAAAGAGTGAGTGTGGGGATGTGCCACATTCTGTTCATTCGTCAGATGATAGGCATCTGGGCTACGTTAACTTCGGTTGGTACAGCTGATGCTGCTGTTGGTGTTTACATACAGACAGGTTTGGGACGTTTGTTTTCCGTTGTTGGGTATGAACCTAGAAGAATCCCTGAGTCATAAGTATCTTTCTGTAACTTTTTCTTTATTACATTTTAAAGATGATTTTATGTCTGGGCGTTTTGTCTGCATCCATGTCCGTGTACCAAGTGCATGTCTGGTGCCTGTGGAGGCCAGAAGTTGGTGTTGGAGCCCCTGAAACTCTCATTCCAGGTTGTTGTAAGCTGCTGTGTGGATGCTGGGAACTGAACCTGAGTCCTGTAAAGCAGCCAGTGCTCTTAACCACTGAGCCGTTCCTCCAGCTCACTTTTTCACTGTCTTGGTGGTTTTGCAGCCTGTGGTCTTAAACTATCAATTTATCTTTTTCTTTTCAGAGACTGTTGCCCAACCCAACTATTAACATGTTTTCTTTTAAGAACTTTATGGTTATAGCTCTTCATTAAGTTTTTGTTTTTAGTTGTGTGTTTTTTTTGTATGTATGTATATGCACATGAATTCTGGTGCCAATGGAAGCTAGAAGGGGGCATTTGATCCCCTGGAGCTAGAGTTACAGATAGTTATGAGCCTCTCAGTGTGGACTTTGGGTACCAAATTCAGGTCTTCTCCAAGAACTGTGAGAACTTTAAACCATCAAGCCATCTCATGAGCCCCCAGTTTTAGGTCCTCATGACTACCAAGTTCTTCACTGACTGAATCTTCAGATGGTCATAAGCTGTTTGCTAAGGGTGGTGCTCTTGTCTTGGGACTTATTTTCCTTTTACTTCAACAAGTCAGAAAGAGCCTTGTCCCTTGGAAAACATTTGTGTTTCTTATAGGATTTAGTTTCTCCATATTTTATTGTCTTTTCCTTGTTTTTTTTTTTTTTTTTTCTTCTTCTTTTTTTTGAAGGTAACAAATGAAGAGGACTTTATTAGAAAATTGGACTGTAAGCCTGACCAGCATCTCAAGGTGGTTTCCATTTTTGGAAATACCGGTGATGGAAAGTCCCATACCCTCAACCACACTTTCTTCTATGGCCGAGAAGTCTTCAAAACTTCCCCTGCTCAGGAGTCCTGCACAGTGGGAGTGTGGGCAGCCTATGACCCAGTCAATAAAGTAGCAGTGATCGACACAGAAGGACTCCTGGGGGCCACCGTGAACCTCAGCCAGAGAACACGGCTACTGCTAAAGGTCCTGGCCATCTCAGACCTGGTCATCTATCGAACTCATGCAGACCGGCTGCATAACGACCTCTTCAAATTCCTTGGGGATGCCTCTGAAGCTTACCTGAAGCACTTTACCAAGGAACTCAAGGCTACCACTGCACGCTGCGGCCTGGATGTTCCCTTATCCACCCTGGGCCCTGCAGTTATTATTTTCCATGAGACTGTGCACACTCAACTTCTGGGTTCTGGTGAGTAGACAGTGCTATGTCATAGATTGACCTTTTAATGCACAAGGAGGTGGCCTCTGAGATACAGTATGGTGACAGCAGAATGCCCAGAAAAACTTGTACCCAGGCAAGTCTTTAGAAAATGTTCCAAGAAGGCTGGAGTAATCAATTATGGCAAGGATTAAGAAGTGCTAGTGGACTAAAGGTCCTGGGAGATTGGGATAAGGCCTCCTTCCCTGGGATGCTGATAGTGAAAGCTTGATCAGAGTGGGATCAAGAGAGACTGAAAGAGCCAGGTAGAGTGATGAATGCCTGTAATTTCAATATTCAGGAAGATGAGGCAAGAGGATTGTGAGTTTGAGGCTAACCTGGCTACATAGTGAGACCCTGTTACACTGGAACAAAAGCAAGGCAGGTGTGTATGGTGGTTCATGCCTGGAGGCCCAGCATTCAAGAAATAGAAGGGTTAGTAGTTCAAGGCCATCCTTAGCTATGTTATATCAGAGGCTAGCATAGGCGACATGAACTCTTGTCTCAAACAAACAAACAACAACAAAACCCAAAAAAAACCCCAAACCAAAACCAGACAGAAAGCAAGAGAGATAGACACAGACATTGTTACAAGGTTTGGGAGTATGCTGAGTGAATTCTAAGAGTTTCATAGAGGGAAGTAGTGGGAGCTGATGGCTCATGTGGAATTTCTAAAAACTTCCCTTTTAAAATATTTAAATATTTAAGATAATGGTGTGCTGATGACGGTGATCTGTTAGAGAAGGGGGTACATGCAAGAAAGAGATGCCTTGAATGCTGGAGGCCTTGGTTGAATTCTGAGCCCCTCGAAAGAAAAGGAATGTGGTCATACACACCTGTAATCCCTGCACTTGGGAGGCATTCCTGGCCAAATTCCTGCAAGTCTGAGGCCATCCCGGTGTACACAGTGAGACCCTATCTCAAAACAGAAATGAAAAAAAAGAAAAGGAACAGAAACGGCTGGAGTGTTTCTCAAGTGGAGGGGTTGGCTGAGAGCTTGGAGAGTGACAGTTCACCTGTGTGTGTCTACAGGAGAGAGAACGGGATGTGTGGAGGTAGAGGTGCTGACTGCATCTGTCCTATGTTACCTGTTCCTGTTTTCTTTGGGAGATAACAGAGTAGTATTATCAGGTGTGGCAATAGTTATTAGATGTGGCGGGGATAATGGTCTGGCCCTAAGCAATCCCACTCTTCACATCTGTATATTCATTCAGTCAGGACAGTACCCGTGTCATGTGCTAGACAGAGAGGTGGCGAGCGCGTCCACTTGTCTGTTCTATAGCATGTGTAGGCATTGGGGTTGTGGGACTGGAGAGGAGAGACCACACATCTCGGGGGGTCTGCAGGTTGAGCCTTCAGGTGGCAGAGGAGGGAAAAGCATGTTTCGGGAGGAGCAGCTGCCCGCAAGCTTCCCGGGAACACTTGTGCGCAGGGAGCTGCAGCTGGTTCTGCAGTAGATTCTTAAACTCCAGCATCAGCCCTTGGGATGCACTCTATCTCTGCCTTCCAGAGGGCTCTCTTAAAATAAAAGCTTCATTTATAATTTAGATACCCCAGCCTGTGATATTCCTGCTTGCTTTCAGTCATATAAAATATACTAATACAAGCCAAGAAAAAAGATAATCTAGTAGCTGGGTATGAGCACACATGCCTATAATCCCGGCACTCAGGAAACCGAGGCAGCAGGATCTCAACTCTGAGGCCAGCCTGTAACAGTGAGACCCTGTTACAGGAACCAAAAATAAGATCAAATTTACTCTAAACTCTGTATGTTTTTGGTTGTAAGCCTTTAACGGCTGAGCCATCTCTCCAGCCCTAATCTAAACTCCTAAAGGTGGCGTTTTATCTAACCCCTGTCAATGTGTCTGGCCATTAGTTTCCCTACCTTGACCCTCTCCTTACTCTGTGTGTTTGCCCATGTGCACATGCGAATGAGTATATATATGCATACATATGTAAGTATGTATATGTGTGTGTGTATACATAAAGACACACACATACATACACATTTATGAATATGCACATGTTACACACACACATGCTCCCCACTAGCTGTGTCATCATTTCTGTGTTCTTACCTTGGGATGCGCTGTCTGTCTGGTCCACTTGCTCCGCTAGCTCTCCATCGCTCATACTGAGCTCTCATCTGGGCCAAGCCTTCCTGACTTCCTATGATGTGGTCCTTCCTGCGCCCGAGTGCTGACACACTCGACCATTCACCCGCTGTCCTCTCAGCTGGAACCATCCTGTGTGTGGTTACTTTTTTGGTGTTTTCCATGAGAATGGAAACAACACGAAGGCAGAAATGTTGCCTGTTTTACTCGCTGCTCCATGTGTCTTAAAGAGCCCAGGGGAATGTTTGGTGCACAGATGTGTGTTGAGTGAGAAGTTAAGAGTTGTGCCCACTTGAAGCAAAGCTAGATTGTGTTAGAGTTGGAGATACTTGAGGATCAGGGCATGGGTGGCCTTGGAGCAGTTCTCTGAAGGATCCTGGGCAGAGACCTATACAATGTTAGTTTCGTATTTCAAAGCATCCGCCTTTCTTCCCACCCCAAGGACCAAGTAGAGGAGCATGCCTGAAGTTGGGGAGTCTCCATGGTAGTCAGTAGGAAGGTTTGGGGACTGAGCCATGACAGTAGTAGTAAGGGGGGTTGTTTGTGGTAATCCTGCTGAGTCATGACCTTCCACAGTAGAGGAAGGGACTAAATGGGAACTGGCTGTGAGATAAGGTGAGGAGGCAGGAAACTCTGGCACAGGATCCTCCTTGTGATCAGTCCTTCTAAGTCATTCTGGCTCTTCACAGCCTGAGGGGCAAGGTTTGTCAGCTCAAGCTTTGGAAATAACCAGCCCTAGAAGCCAGCTTTTTGCCTTGTGTTATGTACTATGCTGTGTGTAGCAGCCCCAAATGACAGCACAGGGTACTGCTTGCCATATGTCACCAAGGAGGTCCTAGCAGAAATGGGGATGGAACCACAGTCCTCAATTTCTCTGAAATCTGGAGCCTTTTCTAGAGCAACAGGCCTTCTTGAAGCCTTGAGACAAAGTGAGGACAGCACGGTAGGAGGAGTGCCCGAATGTGGGCAAACTGGTCATTGAATTTCTCTTGTCTTAGTAGCTGGTTAGTTTCAGATCTCTGTTCAGTCTTGTTGCTGTTCTGGATAGAGGAGGGCTAGGTAGGAGTTTAATAGGAAATGGATGACAGGTTGAGTATTCCTTACCCAAAATGCTCGGGACCAAAAGTAAGCTTGCAAGTTTTGGATTTGGAATGTTTGCAAAGGCCTTGCAATAGGAGCACCCTGAATCTGAAGGTCTAAAGTCTAAATGCTGTCCTGGTTTCAGAAGTCAGCCTGGCAGAACCCAGGGTTGGCTGAGGGAGTCACAGTTGGGGACTGGCCTGGTTGGATTGGTCTGTGGACATTTTCTTGAGATTTATTTTTATGTGTATGGATGCTTTGTCTGCATATGTCTGTGCACCGTGTACGTGGAGTGTCTGTGAGGACCATAAGAGGACAGCCTATTCTTTTGGAACTGGAGTCCCAGAGGCTTGTTAGCCAGTTGTGAGCGTGCTGGGGTTCGGACCCAGCTCCTCTGGAAGGACCACCAGTGTTGCTTTCACCACGAGCTTTCCAGCCCCATTTTCATTCTTTCTTTACCAAGAAAAAATTATTTAATGTGTGTGGATGTTTTGTCTGTCTGCATGCCTGTATACCTGAGGAGGCCAGAAGAGGGTGTCAAGACTCCCTGGAAATCTGGTTAGAAACCATTGTGAGCTGCCATGTGGGTCCTGGGACTTGAGCCTATGGAAGCACAGCCAGTGATGTTAAGCACTGATCCATCTCTCCAGCCCCAAACTCCGTTTTTTTTTTTTTTTTTTTTTTTTTAATTTTTTAAAAATTGCTAATTGATGTAGGAAAGTCTGGCCCACTATGGGTACTGCCATCCCTATGCAGGTGGGCCCCAGCTGTGTAAGAAAGTAAACTTTCCTTCCCACCCTCAAGTCGCTTTTGGTCAGCAACCCAGTCAAACCAGCATAGTGTTGGAATCATTTCTGAGTTAGGATATTTGTTTTAGGGATGTCCTGACTGGATTCTGTTACCCTGATGAGTGGAAGGAAGTCATTTGAGAGCACTGATTGCATGCTTGGGAAGGGCATGCAGAGATGTCGGGAGGAAGGGAAGGGGCCAAGTCAGGTTCCTGCGTTGCTTTGGGGGAAGGAGGGTTTCCTGCTACTTCTTTCAAGTCTCAGCATGAGCTGGGAATAGGGAATACGTTTAGAATTATGATAGCTGCTGTCCCTTTAAGTTTGAACTAGTGTACCTTCAGTGTTTGAGTGATTTTGTTAATGTGTCTTTGTAACCACACCTTCACCTCTAGAAGGTGCACTGTGTGCAAGCCAGTCCGCCCGCATCGCCAGCTTCGTGTGGCTTCACAGCTTCGTGTAGCTTTACAGCTTCGTCACCTAAGACTCGCATTCTCGAAGTGTAGAATTGTGAATGCTCACTGGTAGAGAGCCCGCTAAATGGATCCGCGGGCTGGAAAACTGCAGCTCTGTAATCACAGGGCTCTGTGTGGTCACAGAGCAAGCTGTGCAGGGAGGTGGTAAGTGTGGCAGAAAGGGCAGGAGAACACAGGCCACATTTGTCTTTCCTTTTATGCTGATGTGTCTACATTTCTCTCCCAGTGAACCCTTTTCAGGATTCTTCTATGTTACACATACAGATGCAATGTGTGTGTGCACATTACATCACAGTGTGTAAGCCAGTGAGTCACACACTCATGTACTCAGTGCCAGCTCATGAGATGCCCGTGCCCTCTCCTTTCTCCTTTTTAGTCAGCGCCAAGCAGATGCTATATTTCTAACCACACAGTAGCTGCGCCCGTGCGTGCTTTACATGTGCCGAGTTAAAATTTGTCTTTCTTTCTTGGTGAAAGGTAGGTGACTTGTTTTCAAGAAGGCGTTCACTGCCACTTGCCTTTCTGCTACAGATCACCCCTCAGAGGCCCCCGAGAAGCTCATCCAGGACCGCTTCAGGAAGCTGGGCCGCTTCCCCGAAGCCTTCAGCTCCATCCATTACAAGGGAACAAGGACATACAATCCTCCCACAGACTTCTCGGGGCTCCGGCGCGCTCTGGAGCAGCTGCTGGAGAACAACACCACCAGGTCTCCCCGGCACCCAGGGGTCATCTTCAAAGCTCTGAAGGTCAGTCGGCTCCTGCCCTGGGTACTCCTCAGGCCAGAGAAGGCTCAGTCCCCAGTACTCCCAGTGCCGGTGCTTGGAAGCCTGGGAGTGTGGTGGGGTTGCACATGGCATGCACCTTCGTCTTGGCAGGAGCTCCGGGGGAAAGGAATCTTGAGTCAGTAAAACAATTGATAAAGGCCGAGGAGGTGGTAGCCCAGTTGGTAGACTGCTTGCCCAGCAGAAATTTATCCCCATCTTGGCTCCCCTGCACCACATAAACTGGGCATGGTGCTACATGCCTGTAATCCGGGCCCTGGCAAGTGGAGACAGGAACATCAAAAGTTCAAAGACATTTTGGCTGCAAATGATCAAGTCTGAGGGCACCTGGGATTTATGAGACGGGAGCGTTTAGGAGGATCTTTGCATGAGACTTTCTTCAGAGCAGATTCTGAAACTTGGGGAAGAAATTCAAAGGGGATGCTTTCTGCTGTGGAATTGGGTGTCACTCAGTGTTACCTACATTCATGCCCTGTGTCATCTAAAACCCGGAAGTTACTGCGCTAACCTTTTGGGAAACCCATCTCTAAGAATTGTATCATTTTCAGGAGAGATGCCTGGAGAGATGGTTCAGTGGTTAAGAGCACTAACTGCTCTTCCTGAAGACCTGGGTTCAATTCCCAGCACCCACATGGGCAGCTCACAGCTGTCTGTAACTCCAAGATCTGACCCCCTCACACAGACATTCATGCATGCAAAACACCAATGCACATAAAATAATAATAAATAATTAAAAAAAAAGAATTATATCATTTTCACATCATTAAAGGCATGATGGCACATGCTTTCAATCTCATTACTGTGGAGGCAGCTCTCTGTGAATTTAAGGCCAGCCTGGTCTACATAGTGGGTTCCAGGCTAGGCAGATCAAGATAGTGAGACCCTGTCTCAAAAACAAAACAAAACAGAAAACTGTAATTTTTTTTTTTTTCCAAGTCAGGCACATAGTGGATCCATGCCAGCAGTAGGATCACTGTCATTTTGCTAGCACAGTTTAATAGATCCCTGTGGTAAAGTTCCTGGCTTCCACCTGTAGCATGTTCTGATGGAGGGTGCTTCCTGCTTTGTAAGACAGAGCTTAGCACTTGGAGAGAGACCCCAGTGTCGACCACGACAGGTGCTGTGTAATCTATCAGGCGATTCTTCTGGTACCCTTTGGTGGTGTTGTTGTTGTTTAAATTATTTATTTTTTATGTATCTGTATCTGGTGTCTTACCTGCATGTATGTCTGTGAGCCATGTGCGCACTGCTTGTGGAGGAAGAGGAGGGGTTGGGTCCTGGGGCTGGAGCTACAGATGATTGTGAGTTGCTGTAACTGGTGGGTGCTAAGAATCAAGTCTGGGTCCTCTGCAAGAGCAGCAGCAGGTGCTCTTAAACTTCCCAGCCCCTCCCCATGCCCGTCTTTGAGGTGAGAGTCTTACCTTGTAGCCCTGGCTGTCTTGGAACTCACTGTGTGAACCAGACTGGCCTTGAACTTTCAGAGATCTGCCTGCCTCTGGCCCCTGCGTTCTGGGACTAAAGGTGTGGGTCATTACGACTAGCATTTGGTTTTATTTTTTAATTATGCACGTGCAGATGACTGGCCCTTGGAGGCCAGAAGAAGGCTTTGGGATCACTTCGTGCTAGAATTACAGGCAGTGTGAGCCAAACTTGGATCCCGTGACAGAGCAGTACCTGCTCTTAACTACTGAGCTTCTGTGGCCCTCTCTCCTGCTTTCCTTTAAGACAGGGACACATGTAGCTCAGGTTGGTCTGCTGTTTGCTAGGCTAACCTTGAACTCCTGTTTGTCCTGCCTTTAACTCCCAAGGCTGAGTTACAGATAGGCGCCTGGTCGTGTTGGTGTGCGTGAGTGCAAGCATTCACACTCGTAGTGTCCTGGGCCTTATCTAGACAGGAGACGTCTGCATTGTATAACGTCACTGCACTCTTAAAGTGCGCTGCTGTCGATGAGTAATAAGTTGCTGGAACAGTGGCAGAGGTGAATGTCAACATAAGATACCTAGGGACCGTGACTCAGGGTTAGAGGTTATTGAGTTCAATTAGAGGTTGTTGAAAATTACCAATTAAGAATGGGTTCAGTGTCTGTGTGGGCCGTGCTGTCCCCAGGGTGATGTGTGAGGTCTGGGCTGAGTCCATGGTTCTACTTCAGCTCAGGGTTATGTTTCTGGTCTGTGCTGTCACCAAAGACTGTTTGGAGGCCCCTAGCCCGGGCTTCTGCTGACTGCGAAGATCCTGGAGGCCACTGTCTCGCTGTGATGTGGGTGAGTGCTGATAGACACCTGAGAGGGAGAAACATGGAGGGCATCTGTGGCACCCCCTCTCAAGAGCCCCCCCGAGACAAAGAGTAGCAGGCTGGACAGGAGGCCACTGAGAGGACTCTCAAGGGGTGTGTGATGAGGCGCTGAAGTGTGGGTCTCCACAGTTGGTGGCTTCTGGTGAGGTCTGAGAGGGGAGGGACACAGCTCTGTTTGGGAGACAGGTCACTGGGAGGTTAGTCATGCTCCAGTGAGTATATGGGCAGCACAGATTGGATGTGTGTGTGTGTGTGTGTGTGTTTTAATTTCTTTGTTTTTTTTCCTCCTTTCGGGGTCATGGGACTGGGGGCATATGTGGAGGCCCTGGGAGGTGAGTGTGATTGGGTGTCTGATGTAGAAATGCCAGAGGGTCAATGAGGGTCTTATGTTGAAAAAAGAGGAACGGAAGGGGAAAAAGTTGTTGCAGTAGTTTTGCTCGATGTGGTGGTATGCCTACAACCTGAGCACAAGGAGGCTGAGGCAGGAGGATTAAGGCCAGTTTGGGTTATATATTTCGGCTCATACAGAGACCACATCTCAAAAGAACAAACCAGTACTCTTCTGCCTACATACAGAAAACGGTTAACCAAACAGAATTGGTTAGGAGTGAAAATTCCAAAGCTGGCAGATGGCTCAGTTGGTGAAGGAGTTTGGTGCCAAGCCTTACAACCGGAATCTGATCTCAGGGACCCACGTGGTAGGAGAGAACCAACCACCACATTCCTTTGACTTCCATGTATATCTATGTGCACAAGTACACACACAATTATAATAAATAAAAATAAAAGAATTCTGGCTTTAAGACTGTATTGAGTGAAGAATTTGTCTACATTCACATCCTTTTGAGTTAGGTTAGGGTAGGTGTGAAGTACAGAAACTGTGGATGCCCCAACACTGGCTGAAAGTGAGAAAGGCCACTCCCAGTCCCTCCCCAGGGGCAGCCAGGGTAAATGCTTCTTTAGTTTTACTTTTCAATTTTGCCACAGTGAGGTTTTTCTAGGCAAGTGCCTTCCTGCTTAGAGCCACATTCACAGCCACCAGTAACACTTTCAGGTAGTAAGGTGTGTATAAATGAAAAAACAAAACCTAAAAAGACACATATTTTACTATCATATTAGCGTAAGTTTGTGACTCTTCCTGTAAGCTCATAAATACTGTATTATGTGAGCTTTTTAGGTCATGTTGCTAACTACAGGATTTCATTGTTCAAATGCATCAGGATGAATAATTATTAGGTAAGATATTATTGGTAAACTTTCTGTTGCAAGTCTCACTCTAGTTAGCTATCATACAAACTCTTTCTAATCGGAAACTAGTTCCTTTGTTACACTCTTTTTGAAGGAAGGATTTGTGACGGGGGAGGACTATAAGCCAGAGACGCTGCCTATCACTCCAGCACTCAGAAGTCTAGAACAAGAGGGTCACTGTGGCTTAAGGCCAGCCTGGGCTACATAGTAAGTTTTATAAGTTCTAGCTTAAGCAATGGAGTCAGACAGTATCGATCTCTTCTAACCCCAATTTAAAAGTGGAGAGAGTCGGGGTGAAGGGATGGCTCTAAGAGCACTGGCTGCTCTTCCCAGAGGTCCTGAGTGCAATTCCCAGCACCCACATGGCAGCTCATAACTGTCTATACCTGTAGTCCCGTGGGATCTTTTTTTTCCATCAAGGCTTTGACTTCAACACATTCTTTTATCTTCAGTGTATGTGTGTGTATACACTTTAATTCACTATTCTTTGTACTAAAATCATCAGCTCATTCTTTGAGCACTTCTTTTCTGCTGTTTGCTTTGTATACACTGTGTCACACACTTGCAGGGTCTTGAGGCAGTGCCAGCATTTAAAAGCTCTTGGAGAGAGTCAAGGGGAGCATTGGCCAAGAGATTGGAGCCATACTGAGGATACCTCTGTGGCTCCCAGGGTGGACTTGTGGACCTGGGAAGGGTGGGAAAGATGAGATAGGAGTTGTCATAAAGCTGGGTGGGTCCTGGCTTAAATACCGTGCTGTTTGTTGACGTGCTTGGTGCAATGGGGCTCAGTGTAGATAATAAGTGACTTGGCAGTTTTGGAATTTTGTTTGGGGAAATCTCCCTCTTAGCTCAGGCTAGCTTCAGTCCGCCTGCCTTAGCCCCTTCCCCCCCCCCCCCCCCCCCCCCCCCCCCCCCCCCCCCCCCCCCCCCCCCCCCCCCCCCCCCCCCCCCCCCCCCCCCCCCCCCCCCCCCCCCCCCCCCCCCCCCCCCCCCCCCCCCCCCCCCCCCCCCCCCCCCCCCCCCCCCCCCCGCTGGGATTACAGGCGTGTAGCCCCACCCTTGGCTAATTTGCATAAATTGTGAGTTATGTTGCTTAAGCTGTTCTCGAGGCTTTTCTGCAAATTCATATACAGCAATGGAAAGTTATCAGTGGGCTGGCGAGATGGCTCAGCCAGTAGCCGTGCTGGCTGTCAACCCCAGTGACCCAAGTCTGACCTCAGGATCATATGGTGGAAGGACAGAACCGGGTCCTGCCGCCTGGCCCTTGACCTTCAAACACATGCTGTGACATGTGCATCGCCTCCCCATAAACACATCTGTAGGTAAACATAATTTTAAAACCTTAAACAGGCCCCTGAGGATCTCCATTCTCATGTGCCACTGTTGTCCTGCAGTACTGGAACCTGTTCCTTGCATCTTTGA